TGAGTTTTTGGTGGGGCATCCATTTATGAAGGAAAAATAGTAGCATATAGGTTAAATGAAAGTAGAAAAGGACGATGGTAGAGGCAGAAGGATTCTAGTAAGTATTAGAGGGAAACAATGGGGAAATGAAAGAACAGAATGTATAGATGAAGAAGTATAGATGAAAAGTATAGATTGAAAGATCCCCGGAGGGTATCTTCCGTCTGAGAGACCCCCTCCCAAGGAACAACGAGGCCATTCGGATGCAAACAGCAAGAGGCTTTTATTTTGATACACGGGTACCCGGGGCAGCAGAGTCACTCGGAGGACTTTGCACGCTCTCTGGGTGGAAAGCTGGGGTTTTTATAGGGTTTTAGAGCAGAAGCGCGGGTACAGAAGTGAGAAGCATGGTTACAGGGGGCTGATTGGTACATTTACATGAGACCACGATTTGCGTCAAAGTTTGGCAGGGGCACCAAGATTCCAGGAACTGGGTGGTCGAAACAGTCATGATGACCCCCTTAACTTGGCCCGCCATCTGTTGTTTTTCTTAGGACCCTTATCTTAACTGGAATAGTCTCACAGATATCCATGAGGGTGATTAACACAAACTGTTTTTAGTTTGACTGGGGCAGCCTGACCGCAGATATCCCAAGTGGGTGACACAGCTGGGTTTCTTAGTAATTTTCCAGTTTCTCATCTAGCCTACAGAGTTTTACAAAACAGTGGTGTCCCACAAAATGGCGTTAGCTATGTTTAACTTAGGGTGAGGCAGGGGTCTTTCAAGATGAAGAAGCTACTTGTAAACCTGTGATTTTGCATTTAAAGTTAAAAATAGGAGGATATAATATAATACAAGTGATATAAAAATGAAGGATGGGGAAATACTGGGAGGTAAATGTTTAAGTGGAAATGTGAAAAGAAGTATTAAGGAAAGGAGTAGTAGGGTTGGGTCATTGAAAACATTAACCCTAATAGTTTGCACGTTAATTAAAATATATGTAAAATTGGAGTTTTCAAGAAGGAGCCCAATTTAGCGAACAAGTATGCTCTCAGAAGACATGGGTTATTAGAGAAGAACCTCAGCGCTAGGAATGGGTTACCTCACTAAAAATTACTGTCCTAGACTGTGGCTGCACAGCAAGCAGCTGGTGGAAGTTCAGCCCTAGCTTACAGTGTCTGGTTGGCCTGTGAGCTGCAGCTCACCTGCCTCTGAGTCACCAGATCCCCTGTATTTGCAACATGAGCCCCCCTGAAGCTTCCACTTGAGACACCAGTGCCCCCTCAACAACCACCTGAGATGGCACCCACCCCTGAGAACCCTGTATTCTGAAACATTCGCCCCATCATGGCTGCTTCCAAAACACCAGCACCTATTTGTGTTTCCCTGGACCTCTCTTGTCATCATGAATAGTACTCCAGACACCAGAGACAGGCAGATCTAGTTATAGGTCCAGGTTCAAGGAACAAACAAGTAAGGCTATGGACACTCAGATGGCTAAAGGCCAGTACAATAGCATAATCCACAGAAATTAGGCCATCATGGCTCCATCAGAAACCCTAACATACAATGGATATTATTCTAATGCGGCTGAAACACAGGAAATTGAGCTTTTGTCTACGATTATGCAGTTATTAGAGGCATATAAATAAGAAACAAGTAAGTGTCTCAAAGAGATACAAGAAAATACACTCAAACAAGTAGAGGCCATCAAGAACATACAGGAAACATACAGGAAACAATCAAGCAGGTGAAGGAAATGTATAAAACAGTTCATGAACTGAAAACAAAAATAGAATAACTAAAGAAAACAAACTAGAAAACCCTGGAAATGGAAACCTTAGAGAAGAGATCAGAAACTACTGATCAAAAACAGAATACAAGAGATGGAGGAGAGAATCTCAGGTGTTGAAGATACAACTGAAGAAATTGACACATCTCTCAAAGCAAATATTAAGTCTGAAAAGTTCCTGACACAAAACATCCAAAAAAATCAAGGACACCATGAAAAGACATAAAAAAGATGAAGAAAGAAGATTCCAGACTCCAGTTCCAGAAAATATTTTTAAGAAAGTTATATAAAAAAATTTCCTTAACCTAAAAAAAGAGATGCATACAAAAAGCTTACAGAACATATCCACTGGAGGCTTACAGAATATTAAATACACTAAACCAGAAGTGAAATTTCTCCCATCACATAATAATCAAAACACTAAATATACAGAACAAAGAAAGATTATTAAAATTGGCAAAGTAAAAGATCAAGTAACATGTAAAGGTAGACTTATCAGAATGATAGCTGACCTCTCAAAAGAGATTGTGAAAGCCATAAGGACCTGGGCAGATGTCATGCAGACGCTAAGAGAGCACAGATGCCAAGCCAGATGACTATACCCAGCAAAACTTTTAATCACTATAGATGGAGAAAACAAGATGTTCCATCACAAACTAAATTTAAACAATATCTATGAACCAACACAGCTCTACAGAAGATAGAATAAAGGAAACTTCAACCTAATGAGGTCAACTACATCCAAGAAAACACAGGATATAGCTAACTTCACAACAGCAAAACCAAAAGAAAACAAGCACAAACATACTATCACCGTCAACTCCACAATAAAAGGAAGTAACACTCATTGGTCACTAATATCTATCAACATCAATAGACTCAACTCTTCAATAAAAAGACACAGGCTAACAGAATGGTTGCAGAAACAGATTTCAACGTTTTGTTGCATTCAAGAAACACAGATAGATAACAAAGATCAATACTACCTCAGACTAAAGGGCTGGAAAAGTTTTTCCAAGGAAACGGGCCCAAGAAGCAAGTTGGAGTTGCCATGGTAATATCTAATAGAATAGACTTTCAATAAAATTAATTAAAAGAGATGGAGAAGGGCAGTTCATTTCCATTAAGGAAAAAATCCACCAAGAGGACATCAAAATCCTGAACATCTATGCCCCAAATAGAAGGGCACCCACATTCAGATAAGATACATTCCCCTCTCTGTCCAAGGATCAGTGAGCCTTGCTATACTCAACTAGAATTGAAAGTCTAGGAGAGCATTCAACGGCCAACATGTCCTTTAATCTTTTATGGGAGATACTACTTTGAGTCAAGATGAAATATTTATTTCCCACTACTTTTGCCCTTCTTGATAGCATGATTTTAAAGGTGATTGGACAAAAATATTCTTGTTTTTATGGTTGTGTTCATTAGCAGAATAAGTAGTTTGGAAACAATTAAAATTTTTCTTTTCATATTAATCATCCTTATTCTTTAAATAGATAATCTTTAAATTTCAGTAATGATCTTACTTTATTGAACTTCTGATATTACCTATGAATATATTACCTGTATATATAATTTGTTTTTGTCTGTGTTATTTAGTAAAACTGAATGTACTCACAGAAATCACAAGCAATTAATTTACATAAATATACACTTGACCTAGGTAGGAATACATCAAATTTGTGACAGACATTGAATAAATAAACAATGAAACTGATACACATTCACCTGTCTAAATCCCACAGACTCCATGTGTTCTGCATATGGACAGAACACACATGAAGAGCAGCAGAGCCCAGAGAGCATTTGCCAACTTACCCTGCTTGTCATCCTATACTGGATGAAAAATTAACTGTCCTGGCCTATACTCATTACACATAATGTTGAACTTTATGAAAGCAATCTTCTTTAAAGGTTATGCTATACAACCCTAGTTATACCCACTGCTAATGAGATTTTATGTCAAATTGATATCAACTAGAATCATCTGAGAAAGGACAAACCTCAATTGAGAAAATGCTCTATTACTACTGGGTATAGGGCAAGCCTGTCGGGAATTTTCTTAATTAGAGATTGATGAGGGAAGATCCAGTCCATTGTAGGTGATTCCAGCCACTGATGGTGACCCTGGGTTCTGCAACAGAGCAGCCTGAGCAAGCCCTGAGGAGGAATCCATAAGCAGCACTCCTCCTTGGCCTCTCCTCAGCTTCTGCCTCTGGGTTCCTTTTCTGTTTGAATCCCAGCCCTGATTTCCCTCCGTGGTGGACTGTTACCTGAAGTGTCAGAAGCATACATTTCTCCATCATTTCAAGTTGTTTTTGTCATGATGTTTTATCATAGCAATAGTAATCCTAAAGAAGACAAACTCTTTACCCTCCTTTTTCTCTCTGTTCCATGATTCATTTACCACAAGGTTTCCTTCCCTCACTGTTTCCCCTTCTATACTCCCACTACAATTGTGTTCATGTTAATATAACTATGTTTAAAATGTAGGATTCATAAATGAGAGGCTACATGTAATATGTTGTTTTTAAGCCATATGTCCACCTCTGTCTCTCTCTCATGGATCACAAACTGCTCTGAATTCTCCCTATCTGCTCTCAAATGTAGAGACTTGGAAACCTCACTCTGTACTTTTTACAAGAGAAACAAATGCTCTTAATTACTGATCTGGCACTCTACTCTAAAGCTTTCTGTTTTAATGTTTATCCTTCTTTATCTTCTCCAATACTTCTCTTCTCTTCACATTTCCCTTCCCTCCCCAATCCAGATTTCTCTCTTCTTCTCTCCACCCTCTTCTTTCCGTCCTTTCTCTCACCACCTCTTCTTTCTCCTGTTTTTTCTTTCTTTCTGCTTTTCTTGATCTGGATATTTATTGTTTACTCAGGATTGTGATAAAAGGTTTTTCTAGTATTAGTTCTGTAAAATTTATTTGCTATAAAGGGTTTTGATTTTTTTTTATGAAAATCTCTCATGAGCGCATCTTGATATTTTTGGTTTAAGAGCTCTAAGTTGGTCCTTGAGCTTCTTCTATGTTGACATTTTACGCCAGTGATTGCTTACTTGCTTTGATGATATTTTTGGCCGTAGATTTAACCTGGATTGTCTCACACCACAGTACCCAGGGTATTTACTTTCCAATTTGATGACTACTTTGCATAGGTCCCTAAAAGCCAGCCCAGCTGCCCATCATTTATAAACTGGGCCATTGCAGTGAGAATTGAAATGCATCAGAGAAGCAGGAGCACCAGGATGGAGTCACACCTTCAGGTCTTCATGTTCCTGCTCCTCTGGATGTCTGGTGAGACATTAAAGAGTATCAGAATGTCATCAATATAGTTCATTTGTAGAGAAATACCTATTTCTGCAGGAATCCAATAGTATGCAGGCAATGCCATTAGGAAAGGCATTTGATCCCAACATTTGTGTCAGGATCTCTTTGTGTGTATATGTGTATTCTCACTGTCTATTTCTGATTGCAGGTGCCCAGGGGAACATTGTGATGACCCAGTCTCCCAAAGTCATGTCAACATCTGTAGGAGACAGGATCACCCTAAGCTGCAAGTCCAGTCAGAATGTGGATAACTATGTAGCTTGGTACCAACAGAAATCAGGGCAGCCTCCTAAAGTGCTAATCTCCTATGCATCCAATCAACACACTGGGGTCCCTGTTCGTTTCACAGGGAGTGGATCTGGGACAGATTTCACTCTCAGCATCAGCAGTGTGCAGGCTGAAGACCTGGCAGTTTACTACTGTCAGCAGCATTATGACTATCCTCCCACAGTGCTTCAGCTTCCATCACAAACATCCTTGAGAGTCTCACCACCTGCCTGCAGCATTCACAGCCGTTGGCTTGCACACTTCCCCCTTCTGCCTCAGATCTGTTATGCATGATCTATCCTTCAGTAGAAAGTTAATAAAGTGATGGCCTCCATTCTTCCATAGTGTTTGCAGCTCAGGTGCTTATTGATAAAAAGTGAGAAGCTAACTGAAGGGATTTAGAAGTTGTGGTGTTTAACTGAGAGGATACAGTAAGAAGGAAGGAAGGAAGAAGGAAGAAACATCAGTGAAGTTTACAGTGTCATTTGGGTTTAGACATCTCCATGTTAAGCCTTTATGCTATAATGAATTTGTATAAAATTTGATAGAATTTCAGATCTTTTACAAAGAATACAGAATCATGAGATTATTAGTTTAGATTAAGAATCCTCAAGCAATTGGTAATTGACCTGGGCAGTGGTCATCTTGCATTCAATTCCTTCAGAGTTGTCCAAAGTTTTATTATACAAGCTGTAAAGATTAAATCCCTTTATGAACTGTCAGCATTCATTCAGTATAATGCTTAGAGTATTTGTGCTAATTAGTCTTTGTAAATATTTGGACACATTTGCTGGTTTATGGGATCTTGGAGGCTTTTATAGATTCAAATACATGTACATACATAAGGCATTAAAAATTAAAAAAAACAAACAGGGTGCACTTTGAGAGATAAATAGAACCAATGCTCTCTCTGAGGCCCTCAAGAAAGCACAAAGAGAGTATTTGTTCTGTGTTGTTGTCCAATGTATTTTTGGCAAGGTCCAGTCTGAACATGGAGCCTGAACTTTGAAGGGGTCAAGGTTTCAGTCCTTGGGAAGTGGACTTTTTCCTCTGAAGGGCAGTTGTGACTGAGTTTTCCTGTATTTTCTTTGCCAACTGTGTCTGATTTAGCTCTCTTCTCACATGGATCCAAAA